ATATATATATATATAATTTTTTTTAAAGTGCTCAAGCTGTTCATATTGTGATTTCATTTTCATATTTGTTGTTACCTGAAAGCATGCCTTATTAGACATATTTGCTTCTTAAAGAGATGCATCACCAAAAATTCTGCCATCACTTATTCACCCTCATCATGTCGTTCCAAACCTCATGTCGTAAAATAAAGTGTGACTTTATTTTAATACAACGCAACAATGGATGTTAAATGTATAGTCAGCCAAAACGTATTATTCTTTCATAATTTACTCACCCTCATGTCATTCCAAACATGTATGACTTTGCTGTGGCATATACTTGAAGATATTTTTTAGAATGTTTTTGTCCATCCATGTCAAGGAACACCAGAATGGTTTGGTTACCAGCATTCTTCAAAATGATGTTAAATGTATAGTCAGCCAAAACGTATTATTCTTTCATAATTTACTCACCCTCATGTCATTCCAAACATGTATGACTTTGCTGTGGCATATACTTGAAGATATTTTTTAGAATGTTTTTGCCATCCATGTCAAGGAACACCAGAATGGTTTGGTTACCAGCATTCTTCAAAATGTCTTCTTTTGTGTTCAGCAGAAGAAAGAGACAGTGAGTAACATGAGTGTGAGTAAATGATGATGGAATTTTCATTTTCAAGTGCATTATCACTTTAAGTAGAATGAAGGCGTATGTTTTCAGGTGTGATCATGCACAGTCTATCTTTATAATCTCTTACATTCCAGACATCAATATTCAAGTCAGTTTTCAAATAATGACTATTTCCCTATTGTACAATAAAAGTAATTGAGGATATTTGCAGTCATTGCAGAACAGATAAAGCCTGACACAGTTTTAAAGCATCCCGAAAGAGTCCTCTGTTGTCATGTACTGTAAATGGCCATGGTTTAACCATTAAACAGCATCTGACTGGCAGAAGTGTTGAGCTGAGCAGGGTGAGAAAGTGTGCATTTGGAAACCGTGACTGTCAAAACAGGAGATGAAGAGAGATGAGGGATTGCAGAGCTGTGGAGTCCTGTTCTCAATCAGGTCTTTGTGTTGAGGGCTCAGTGAAACAGGGACGCCTATGATCAGCTGTGTGCTTGTAATGCAGGGCACAGACATAGACACATATACCCCACACACAGAGAACCACACTTCTTCACTGCACTGAAACTGTCAAGCTGTCAAGCGAAATTAATGCAGGGAAGGTCAGACTCAAAATAGTCTTGATATTTTTCTGCCATGACATCATCATGTCTTAAAATCAATCTTCGCTGCCCTCCAGTCCAGAGCCTGACGCCCACAGGTGTGACAACTTACCCTGAACCTCCCACAACAAAGGGGTGTTTGAAGGAAACCTCTCAGTCTTGTTTACCGCAGTCAAACACATCTAACCGCAGATTTCCTCTCGCTGTAGAGCACCGTGTGATTTTTCTAGTGAGCTTTTGACCTTTGCTGAGATCTCACATTCTCCTCTGTTGGTTGTGTTGGTGGAAGTTTAGACTTGTTACAGTCAGAAGACACCTGCTTACGGAAATGTGTATCTGGTTGAGTCATACAGCAGATATTCCCTTTAGTTTCTAGTTGTCTAGGTCTTGATGGGAACTATTTAAAAAAAAAAAATTATTATGTTAGTCATTTGTAGAGTGTAAAATGTGAGAACACTTATTGATCATATTCACGTGCACGTCTTTTTCTGATTACATTTAAAAAATATTTTTACGTGCTTCTTGAATATTTCTGCTGGGTATTCCTGTATCCATTTAATCAACATAATCTGAATACACAAAAATATACATTTTTCATGCTATTACTTTCACTCAAGTAATGGAATTGAGTACTTTGTCCGCCTCTGATTCTTACTAGGAAATACTAGGGATGTTTGTTCGCGCCATAGTCAAACTCAAGTCAAGTCAAACTTTATTTATTGAGCACAACTTTAACACAACCGTTGTTGCTCCAAAGTGCTTTACAAAAGAAGCAACAGAGATCAAAATTAAAAGGAAAAATAAGTAACTAAAATCTAAATATGTGTGTGTATATATATATATATATATATATATACATGCACAAAAACTAGGGTTGAGTATCGATTGGGTTTTACAATAACGGTGCCAAATCAATACTTTTAAAATGGTACCAGTGCCTGAACCAGCCGCACCACACGGATGCGCTGTTTTCGTTCAAATCAAAGCGTAAATAGTACATGTAGAAAACGCATCCTTATGTCGCGGCTGACACAGAAGAGTGTACGCTGCTTGCGTTCTGTGGATATTCTCCAAAATGGCGCTACGGTGATGCGGAGAGACACAGAGGAGACTAATTGTTGAATAAAGTCGTTATTTTGGTTTTCTTCGCGTACAAAAATAATTCTCGTCGCTTCAGATTGAACCACTGATGGCAGATGGACTATTCTGACGATGCATTTCATACTTTTCTGGACCTTGACAGTGTAATTTACTTGGCAGTCAATGTGACACAAGCCTCCCAGTTTTCATCCAAAATATCTTAAATTGTATTCCGAAGACGAATGAAGCTTTTACGAGTTTGGAACGACATGGGGGGTAAGTGATTAATGACAAAATTTTCATTTTGGGGCGGAGTATCCCTTTAACCATCCAAGTTCTCCCTTCGTCAAAACATGAGAAAAGAAGTTGTAAAGAAGAGTCATTTTCAAGTTTGATTGGAAGTTGGAGGTCATCGGCGTAGCAATGATAGTTAATATTATATTTCTGGAGAATGGAGCCTGGGGAAGCATGTAGAGCGAGAACAATAAAGGGCCAAGAATAGAACCCTGAGGAACACCATAAGGGATGGGCGCAGAAGGTGAGGTGAACGACCCGCTATTTACTGAAAAAGTCCTACCCTTTAAATAAGAGGTGAACCACTGTAATGCCGTGCCTTGAACCCCTACTACACATTTGAGTCGATTCAAGAGGATGTCATGGTCGATAGTTTAGAAGGCTGAACTCAAATCTAACAGTATCAGAATGGCAGATGACCTCGAATCAATGGACAGCAAAAGATCATTCATAACTTTAAGCAAGGCCAACTCTGTACTGTGAAGTGCTCTAAAACCAGATTTGAACTTATCCAGAATTTTAAAAGCATCCAGGTAAGAAGTAAACTGTGAAAGCACTGCTTTCTCTAAAACCTTAGAAATAAATGGGAGTTTAGAAATGGGCCTGTAGTTACTAAGAACAGATGGATCAAGGTGAGATCTTTTTAACAGGGGTTGTACAGAAGCTTGTTTAAAGGACTCTGGGAAAACCCCACTAGTCAAAGAACTGTTTATAATAGTTAAAAGGGCAGGGCTAATAGTGTCCAACACCTCTCTAAGCAAGCGGCCAGGCAGGCAGTACATCGGATTGACAATATGTAAATTTCATTTTAGAAATTAATGCAATAAATTGAGATGGAGACACTGGTTTAAAACTAGTGAAAGTGCTAGAAGGAGAGATCAGGTGAGAATGAGCTGTGTCAGGAGGAGAGAGGTGAGATCTGATATCTTGTACTTTCTGCACAAAGAAACCTAAGAATTCTGCGCAGGTCTCGAGATTGCCAACGGGCTGAGCAAGCGGCTGGATTAAGAAATTAGTTTATAGTTTTAAAAATAACTTTTGGCCTGTTTGCATTCATGGCAATCAAATTGGAAAAGTATTGAGATTTTGCATTGCTGACAGACTTTTGATAGGTGGTTAGACAATCTTTCAAAATTTGATAAGAACCTGAAGATATTTTATGATGCAATTCAAGTTCATGTTATGCATGATGAACTGCAAATGCAAGTTGTGATGGTTATAGTTTTATGTTTGTGAAATGTTAGTAAAAATCAGTCTCCTCATAATGCCAATGATGTTTATACCAAAAACTTCTATTTTGGTCTCCTCTGACCACATGACCTTCTCCCATGCCTCCTCTGGATCATCCAGATGGTCTTTGGCAAACTTCAGACGGGCCTGGACATGTGCTAGCTTGAGCAGGGGGATCTTGCCCGCGCTGCAGGATTTTAATCCATATCTGTCTCTCACAGTTGAGGTGTACCTACGATGAAAATTACAGATCTCTCCATTCTTTGTAAGTGGGAAAACTTGAAAAATCGGCAGTGTATCAAATACTTATTTGCCCCACTGTATATATATATATATTAGGGCTGCACGATTAATCGCATGCGATATTTTACGCGCATCTTGTCAGAAAGCCGGTTCTGTAATCAGCGGTAAATCTCCATCACCTGCGGGCTTTCACATTGAGCAGCATTAACTTCACAGAGCCGTTGTTCACTGAGGAGCTGCGCTAAAAATCGCGCGAATATGAACGTGGTTTGGCGCAGCTCGTCTATATATCGTATATATATATATATAGCGTATTGGTTGTTAGATAAGCTCTAGCTTGAATTAAAACTGAAAATTACAACAGCAGTCACTTTTGAGTTTTGTTAAGGTTTAGTGGAGATGAAATGGAGATAGCGACAGATCTTTTTTTCCGTTTTGTGACGTACATCCAAATGTAATGGAAAAGAAAATGGGTGTAAACCTGCAGTCGATTGTGGAGGGAGTGGTTTATGCAGACTAAATGATTGGAAAAATCTGGTATATATGTCACCAGAGAGAAGTCTATCCTTTTCAGCAGAAGATTGAGCTATAACGTTTTGATTAAATATTACAATTGAAAATAAAAATGTAAAAAATGAAGCATGTAATTGTTAAATAGACTGGGTGAGTTTCCATCATGCTGAGTTTACCTATAGAGTGCCAAAGCTCTTCATTTGTTTTGTCTTCTTGGAGGACAGGATGTTGAATGGTTAATAGAAAATATATTTTAATATACTAACCTTTTTAACAAATATTGTGTCACTGGACATCTTTGTCTTTTAATGCATTTGAATGCGGTGTGTTTCCGTTTATCCACAATGCTGTGTTTCTGTAGGACAGATGTCCCAAGCACAGAGGCAGATCACCCTGCTTAAACAGGGGGAGTTCAGAAGGTCATTTGAGGGACTCAAAGCTGTAGTGAAAGGGATTCAGCTGAACTTTGACACTGTTGATGTCTAGATGTTTTGCTCTGCTCATTGATTTACCATGCACATTTTTGCTCTCAGAATGGCGGTGTGATTTTCAGTAACTGAGCTACTGTAAGTGTTTGTAAATTAATTTGCTGAAGTTATGTTTGCTCTGCATTTATGAACAGCTATTTGATTATCTGAGGAATCTTCCATTTACAAGGACACGTCTTACAGGTGCAATTATGCATTTGATTTATGCTTTGCAAAATTGCATTTTATCAGACTGATATTTGTTATAGTTATTTTGCTCCAAAATATTTGAGAAAAGATCTCTTTATTATATTAGATAATGTTAATGATTATGTTTACTATTAGATAAAGATATATTATCTCATATAAAGTACTTAAATAATAACAAATTATTTGAGCCTTTAAAGACACCGTCTTTGTCAGGAAAAAGTCAATCTTATTTGGCGCTGTGAGTGAAGTTGTTTTATTTCCTGGTCTTCATCACTCAAGATACATGTAATGCATACTAATGTAATCACAATTCAAATCTCTGTGCCTTTTTGAACTGATTTAAACAAGAATCCATTCCAGACTGTGTCAGCTATGCCAATTTTAGCATGCTTTGTAATGTTTATGAAACCTTCATGGGTTAGGTTCAGCAGATGGCTGTGGACTAAACCATGCATTAAATCAGGCAGTTAACTTTCCCAGACTGTGTGTTATTATCTCACAAGGACACATTTGCATAGGGGCTTCCCGATCACCAGGATATCCCCTCTTGCTGATGCATCGACCGGGAGGTATAGGTGGCATTATGAGAACCTTCCTGTGTAAATGCTGTCTCGGGCAGTGCTCCCCTCACCTTTGAGGGTTGTATTTGAGCTTGCCTCTCCCGTTTGGCTGTAAGTAGATGCTTGGAAAACTCTAAAATCCAAATACTACGGTAAGTGCACACGTTAAGCTTTGTGCACTTTTCTACAAATCCACATAAGTGGTAAGTGAGCACGTTATGCTTTGCCCACTTTCTAAAATCCACATAAGTGGTAAGTGAGCACGTTATGCTTTGCCCACTTTCTAAAATCCACATAAGTGGTAAGTGAGCACGTTATGCTTTGCCCACTTTTCTGAAATCCTGTATGGGAAGGGCTACGTGTTATTGCCCTCCTTCCCCTTCGCTGAGTTGGTTTAGACCCCAGTACCTTGGGCTCCACTCAACTAGTGTGTCTCTGTCGACACACTCTGGAAGCATCGCTCCCCTCACCTTGAGGGTTGTATTGGAGCTTGCCTCTCCCGTTTGGCTGTAAGTAGATGCTTGGAAAACTCTAAAATCCAAATACTACGGAAAGAGCACACGTTAAGCTTTGTGCACTTTTCTACAAATCCACATAAGTGGTAAGTGAGCACGTTATGCTTTGCCCACTTTTCTGAAATCCTGTATGGGAAGGGCTACGTGTTATTGCCCTCCTTCCCCTTCGCTGAGTTGGTTTAGACCCCGGTACCTTGGGCTCCACTCGACTAGTGTGTCTCTATTGATACACTCTGGAAGCATGGCTCCCCTCACTATTGAGGGTTATTGTGAGTATGATGTTTCTTTCGAGCATTAATCCTCTCTGAGGAGTTGGATTCCTCGCTCCATGGGCTGTCCTTGTGGTAGTATTGAGCAGTGCTCCCCTTTTTTATCAAAGGGTTACCTGGAATGAGCAACGCTAATCCTCTGAATTCGGAGTTCTCCTCTCACATGAGAAGTTTGAGTTCTCGGTTTCTCCAGAGCACCTGAAACAAGCAGCATCAGGCGATTTAGGCCCTTCCTCTACCTCCCTGATGTGCTGAGTGTTTGGCTAGCTTGCAGTATGCTTACCCCTCTGATTTTACAATCATGCTGCAGGTCGAGCCCCCTCTCGTTGAGAGCTGGGTTTGTGCTCCCTCAGCCAAGGTAAACTACTGCTAGCTGTTCCAGCATTGGAACATGCTGTAGGTCGAGCTACCTCTCGATTGAGAGCTTGATGTTGCTCCCTCAGCTAAATAACTGCTAGCTGTTCCACCATTGGAACATGCTGTAGGTCGAGCTACCTCTCGATTGAGAGCTTCTGAGTGGTTTAAAACCCCGGTTCCGCCTTGGGCACCACTCCTCCTATGTATCCTCTGGGTACCTACTTTAACAGGGTGCTGCTACTAGGGGTCTGTTAAAGCAGTTCCTTCAGCACATACAAAGAGAAACATGCGGTAGCCCCTGCGTGACAGGCCAAGACTAGTATGATTCTAGGCTCTTGGTCGTATTCCCTTGAAGGAATCTATTCCTGATTCCAAGCCTTGAGCTCTACCCCGGGCCCAGTCTGGCCCTAACAGGTAAGTATTTTGGGGTAAGTAGCCTAGGCCTTTGGCCGTAGGGAATAACGTCACTGACTAACGTCCCAGGGGCAACTCCCATAGCAATATGGTAGAGTTGGTACTTAGTACTCGCCATGGTTCTGGCATGCACTCCCCTCAGCATGGTGGCGTGGGTTTACCGTTCCCCATAGCAACCCCTAGAGGATGTAGTTTGAAGTTCCCATGAAAGGGAACGTCTCAGGTTACTTATGTAACCATGGTTCCCTGAGTAGGGAAAGAGACACTGCATCCTCTTGTGTTTCTCTTTGAATCACTGGTTGAACTCTTGTGGTGTGCCAGATTTCTGTATTTTCACCGTTGGCTTTTGGTAAATGCTAATAAAATAAGGTACAATGTAGCTTTTAGTTTGATTCATTAATCTGTTGTACCACTTTGGCATAGATGACAGATGTGTTTATAGTCAGTCAGGGCAGATATGCTGAGCAAACAGCCATATTATTATTAATATTAATATGAAATGACCAACACGCACTTTATATTCCAATCACGTGTTGCCACCCAAAAAAGGACGTAATAGGACCAAGCATTTATAAATGTTTAAATACTTAAACAAAATATAATTTAAAATTATTTGTATCCATTAGTCATCAGCCGAAATTGTATGAGCGTAGTAGTAGGTGGTGATGCTCTTGGCACTGTGGTACATGTGTGGGTTTGTATTGCATTTGCACAGTGTCTCTCTTTGAAGGCATGTACATATGCAGGTGTCTACATATGTATGGCCAGAAATGTATCTATCCTTAACTCATATCACTACATTAAAAAAATGTATGTTTCTGTCATTACAAAATTAGAGGAGGTATCAGGCTTCACTTCAGATCTGAATTATGCATTAGTTTAGCGCTTGCATTTTTAAAATGCTGATATCGGACACTTGTAGCATTGTAACCATGGTTACTATGAAACCCTTTACACAATTCAGACCAAGCTTACAGCACTTACTTACTTGCAAACGGGCAAAAATACGGAAGGTATGCTGCGGATGAACATGGTGGACCAGTCTGCTTTAAGAAGCCAGCTAGATGCCATTCAGACCATGACAGCAATGATTGTTGAGAAACCAAAAGTGGTAAACGAATGTCTGCACCAGTGATGGCATGCAGTGCAATCCTTGACATGCAATTTTTTTTGTTTCTTCTTGTTTTTGCCTTAATAAGGGGGGAAAAAATGTGATGTTGAAATGTTTTAAATTCATTTTTATGTTATCTTTGGCAGGGCGATAAAAATAATGGATTTGATGTACTGTACCACAACATGAAACATGGCCAGATATCCAGCAAAGAGCTATCAGAGTTCATCAGAGAAAGGTAAAACTGTGTGATGTTGGTTTTTGTTGTTTTTTTAAGGGAATATGGGGAATCACCTCAAAGTGTTACATTATGACAGTCTGTTATGAATACAGACTCATCTTTCCTAAAAATTGCTTCAGATACCCCAAGCAACATCCTAAAATGCTGTTAAAACAGTACTGAATGAGTTCACGTTTGCTGAGCACAAACTTCTTTTCCTTCTGCTTTTTTAAAACCAAAAAATCTTTTTAGTTTAGTAAAATTCCTGTGTATGCTCAATTTATACTTGTCTACAAAACTAATTTCAAACATTTACGCATAAGCTTTTGAATCAAAAGGTTAAGATCATGACAAATTAAGAGTGTTTGTAAGCATGGCACTTTCAATGTGTTTTTAATATTGGCCAATTTGGCAGTATGTCTTCTTGTGTGATTTAGTTCATGTCTTCTTTTGGTTCAAGACAGGACAAAATCAGAGGCCTTTGTTTGCATATATGTAGGTGTATCTGTCATTTGTGCAACTTGCATTGAGTAACTCTTAGATTTTCTTTAAATCATCTTTTTTTAAGCACAATTAATTATGGTAACTGTTGTTTACAAGTATGTGTAAAGGTTTGTGAGATCAAAGTGTTGTTTAAAGGATTTTTATTTTATTCTAAATAATAATCAGTGTTAGATGGCCTGTCATTATTTGAATTTGATTGATTATTCACACATGGTTTTCTCGCCTCTTGTCACAGAGCCACCATAGAGGAGGCATATTCAAGATCAATGACCAAACTGGCCAAGACTGCCAGCAACTGCTCTCAACTAGGGTAAGACTCTGAGTGTGAGTGTGTGCGTGTCGGTCTTAGGGGTTACAGGCCCAGTGGGTTCATTACGAACACAATTTCAATAATGTATTTATAATGAGTTGGAAACCCACATCATTTCAACGTCTCTCAGGCTTTATCCATGAAAGCCCAAGCTCGTTACATGCAAGGAAACAAAATTAATACCCACAGCTGTTCACTTACCTGCCCGGAGCATTTTTGAATCTTTATTCTATGCAAACTTGCTGTACTTTTCCTTCTAATGCAAGACATATTGCCAGTCAGGCGAAACTTAGTAAGCTACTTCAAAAAGATCTGCAGGAAGAAAGCAATTAACTAATTGTTATTCTATTATGGTCCTAAAATAACCAAAGTTTGTATAATAACTATTCGCAAAATATGCTAGATGCAGTTGTGTGAAATGAAAGCTGGCTTTTTACTGGCCTGCGGCGCTTTATTCCACTGAACTCGATTTTCACACCCTCCTCACATATCATACTGTCAGTACAGACATTATAGTGTCATTAAACCTTGCAGAGAGCTGTTTCCATTAAAAACAGCCAGGACCAGAGGATAAATCTGATATCGAGAGAATAAACACACCTTGGTGTTAAATCACAAATCATGTTTAACACATTTTCCGTTTTATTTGTACGATGTGTGTGGAGTATTATGCTTTGAGAAGAAAATGAAACGACCATTTGTTCTACAGGACGTTTGCACCGGTGTGGGATGTGTTTAAACAGTCCACCGAGAAACTGGGAGCGTGTCACATGGAGCTGGTCCGCAAACTTCAAGAGCTCATCAAGGAAGTGCAGAAATATGTGGAGGAACAAGCCAAAAATCATAAGAAGGTATGGGAGCTGCCGTCATCTTTGGTGTTTGATAAATATCCATGTACGTTTGCTCATAACATGCCGCATAGCAAAGTAGGAACCCAATTTCTCAGCTAAATGAGTCTGCGGTACACATGTCATTCTGGTATCACTCATATCTCGTATTTGTTTTTCGAGTGAGGAGTATCATATGAAATGGGAATATAATAATAATAATAATGGTCTCCTGTACAATATGCCAAACTATATGTCACACTTATCTCTGATCTGTTTGTAAATAATGGCCCTTGCCTTCCCATGAATCTTCCGAAATGTATCTTGTAATAATAATAGTTTTGTTTTGCTTTTTAAATTTGTGCATATTTGTCTGACTAGTTACTCTTTGATTGTATTAGTTCTGTAGTAGTGAGCTGTAGGTTTTACTGAAAATAAATTTTTACGTAAATAGAAATTAAGTCTGATTTAGCTTATTGATGGTAATTTAATGACAGTTAAGCACATTTTCCCTGCCAGCATAAATTAAAGGCAGTACAAATAATACAACTGTGGTTTATAAATACATTTTGATATAGAGAAAATTGAACAACAGTTACCAGTTAGACGGGTGGCAGCCTCATCCTTGAAGTTAGTTCATAGGGTCCAATTTCAATGATAGAAATTCAATTCACATTTCACAGTTGAAAAACCTCAAAATTTAAGCATATGCATCAAATGCCCATTATACAAAATTTGAGAGCAAGACATTTAGGGCTGTGGAGATTATATATTTTTTTAAAGATGAGAATAATACTGAAACTCTTTCTTGTAGACAAAGGAGGAGGTGGCATCCACTCTGGAGGCTGTGCAGACCATCCAAAGTGTGTCTCAGGCCTTACAGAAGAGCAAAGAGAACTACATCAGCAAAACACTAGAGCAGGAACGCATGCGCAAAGAGGGGGCCACACAGAGAGACCTGGACAAGGTACACACTCAGACTTGTATATACATGAATGGTAGGCCAAGTACTACTGAATACTTTAAAGTTTGCCAGATCAATCCTTGTAGGAATCTCCATTCATCCACCGACTTAAGCTCCTAAAGGAATTGTGTCTGTAGTAGATATTAGAGGAAATTTAGCAGATACAAAGGATAATTCAGAACACGTCTTCTAAGGTGTCTAAATGTTTAAATGTCTCTCTGTCTGTTTTGTTTGTTTGTTTGTTTGTTTGTAGGCTGGGTTGAAGGTCAAGAAAGCCACTGAGACCTATAAGTCATATGTGGAGAAATATGCCACTGCAAAGACAGAATTTGAGCAAAGAATGACAGAAACCGCACAAGTAAGACTGTGTGAAGTGTGCATGAGTGTCGGACACGCACATACTTTTATATTAGAAGCCTAGTGTACCCATACTGTGTGTGTATATATATATATATATATATATATATATATATGAGCAATAT